CAGGGACCCCGAGCGTCGAACCTCGTCCTGACTTCCTGCTGGCCGGGACCAGTGCTGAGCCACCTCAGGCCCCCCGCCGACTCCGAGGCTTGCCTTGATCTGCCCGGCCTGCTCCCCGCAAGTCGATTGGAGGAAAGCCGTCAAGCCCTTAGGGTTATGTCGGGCCTGTCCCCCTACAGGGGGATTTTCGACGAAAAATAAGACATACCCAAAAACGACCCCCAAAGGGTCAAAAAAAATTTAAAAATAGTCCCCAGACTATTTTTGGACTATGTTTTGGGGGGGTATCTTTAATTTTTCGTCGAGGATGCCCCTGTAGGGGGACAGGCCCGACCTAACCTTAGGCTCCCAGCGGGCACGCGCTCGCCTGGGCCAGCCCTGAGCCCGGGTCGGCCAGGGCCCTGGTCGCGAAGCCTGGTCGGCCGCGCGGTGGCGCTCTCTCCCCCCACGCAGAAGGGGCCCAGGGGCACGCAGACAACTACACACGGATCCCAGGATTCCCCCTGTGTTGTCCCAGGTTTTCTTGGCCTTCGTCTGCACCCCCACTTCCCACATGTTCCCATCTTTCCTCGGGAGCGGCCAAGAGGGGGGTGTCCAAGAGGGGGGGGTGCAAATCATGACAGGCGGCACGTGCGCGGCCCAGCGGGGGGGCCAGGGACGTAATGAAATAAGAAGAGGCGCCACGAAATCTGGGGAAGTATCATGGCCCACGCCATGATATCCCCCCCCCCTAGTCATCACCCCCCCCTTTGCCGCCCCCGATTTTCCCGGGAGCCGACGATGAACTGCGCCTGTGTCTGCTTCCCCTCCCGACAACACCCGGGGTCGGCGGAGGGAGGCGCGGCGAGGTCGGCCCCGCGTGCCTCCCCGAGCCGGGTCGGCCCAGGGGCACCGGAGCCGCTCGGCTGACCCTCGCTAGCGTTAGGTCGGGCGTGTCCCCCGACAGGCCGATTTTGAACGAAAGATAAAGAATAGTTACAAACAGATCAAACAAAAAAACAAAATAATCCGAATAATCGTCCACCTACAGGCCGATTTTGAACGAATAATAAAAAATAGCAAAAACACAAAAACACGCCAAATGCTAAAAAACAAAAATTAAAAATCGTCCCAAGACTATTGTTTAAACTATGTGTGAAAATCCCTCCTGTAGAGGCACAGGCCCGACTTAACGTTGGCGCTGACCCCCGTTGCGTCCGCCGCGATCCTGTCGGGGAGACGTAATGGAACTCTGGCAATTACGAGGGAAACCTCTCGTAATTGCCAGAGGAGGGAGGAGGAGGGAGGAGGAGGGAGGAGGAGGAGAAGGAGGAGGAGGAGGAGGAGGAGAAGGAGGAGGAGGAGGAGGAGGTCGGGGGAGGAGGGCCATCACGAAAAGGACGAGGGCCCAATCTGAAGCTTGACGCGGGCGCCCGCTGCCGACATCCCACGAGAACCGCACCGTCAGCCTCCGGGACGCGCTCGTCAAAAACGTCGGCGAAACCGAGTTCCGGCTTACTCGAGTCTTACTGAGTATCGTTCAACCGATCCCCATCCCCAGCGGCGTGGCCTGGGCCCCACTGGCCGATTTACCCCCCTAGATCGGGATATAGGCCGCATCCTTCAGGCTGCGAGGGGTGTATCCCCAACTGGGGGGGGGGATTTGGTGGGAGTCTCGAAGGGGATGGGGATGGGGATGGGGATTGGCTAAACGATACTGACTTGCGCTTCCTCGATCCTTCACCTCCACCACGCGCGCCGGCGCGGGCAGCACGCAGGGGCCCTGCTCGTTCCTGGCGGCGGCGCGGTCTCGCCGCCAGAGCCGGCGGGCCGCGAGCAGGCCGAGGCCCACGCCGACGCCGAGCCAGACCTGGTCGCGGGTGGTGTGCGGCACGGGGCAGAAGGGCATCCTTGAAGGGGCCCAAGGACACACAAATAAATACACACAAATAAGAATATCCCCCATATTTCCCCATATTTTCTGGGTTTTTGTCTTCCCCTCACTTCCCATATTTTCTGGGGAATCGCCGATGAATTGTGTCTGTGTGTTTCTTTCCCTCCTGAATCCTCGCCGCTGCCGCGGCGCCTCGCAGGCCTCGGCCGGATCGGACCGCGAGAGGGGGGATCGGATCGCGACCTCGGATCGGATCGCCAGCGAATCGTCCCGAGTCGGATCGAGATCGGATCGCAGCCTCCGGCTGGCCCCGGCCGATGCTGGTGAATCGAGCCGAACTTGGAGGCGGGGATTTGCCCATATTCACCGCCTGAGAAACGACGTCCTGGTGCCCTAGCGGGCGGTGGATATCAACATATCTTGGCCCCCAGGGGGCCGAATGTATCCATATCCACCGCCCGTGGATGTCCGCGATGATCGATCCCCCAGGCGGTGGGTATGGATAAATAGAGGCCTCAGAGATGGGGTCGGAGTAGATGGGGTCGGAAGATCGTGCCGCATCGACGATACATCGGCGATACATCGTCGACGTCGGCGATGCATCGCCGACGTCGACGTGAGGCAAATTGGGCCCCACAACGAGCCGCATCGGCGACGCATCGCCGATGCGGCGCGACCCTCAGACCCCATCTACTCCGACCCCATCTGGGAGGCCCAGACCAGATCCCCACCTCTAGAAGAAAAACAATGCTGTAAAGATAAACTGTTGGCCCCTCCGCGCGGAGTTCTTGGATCTGCGATGGACCCCCCTCCGTGGCGCGCGGAGAGCGCCATGGGGCGGCGCCAGCTGCGCCGCCGCGAGGGCCCAGCGCGGATCCAAGAAATCCGCGCGGAGCGCTAAAAGTTTATCGTTGTAGCATTGTGTTTCTTCTAGAGGCGGGGATTTGTTCTGGGCCTCCCAGATGGGGTCGGAGTAGATGGGGTCTGAGGGTCGCGCCGCATCGCCGATGCGTCGCCGATAGCCCCAACGTGTGTTTGTCCCAACGTGTGTTTGACCGTCGAGGCCCTTCGATACGACGCAGGCGGTGTAATGATCTACTGGTTGGGCTGAAAGGGGCAAACACACATTGGGCTAACACACGTCCCGAGGATCATCCACAAAAGTCTCTGCTTCTAGCGCTCCTCCTCCTCCGTCGAGCCTCGGCCGACTGGACCTGGCAAGACCAAGCAGCCACAAGCCCACGGGACCTGGTGCCCTGGCAGTTTCCGTTGTGACCCGACCACATCACACCAGAGGATATATTAACCGAGCATGGCCGCGAGGATTGCTTTGGCTCGACACTTTTTTATTTTGTTTTGTATATGTATATATATACACATGTATGTATGTATGTATGTATGTATGTATGTATGGATGGATGTATGCATGTATGTATGTGTGTATGTATGTATGTATGTATGTATGTATGTATGTATGTATGTATGTATGTATGTGTATATGTATGTATGTATGTATGTATGCATGTGTGTATGTATGTATGTATGTATGCATGCATGTATGCATGTATGTGTGTATGTGTGTATGTGTATGTGTGTATGTGTGTATGTGTGTATGTATGTATGTATGTATGTATGTATGTATGTATGTATGTATGTATGTATGTATGTATGTATGTATGTATGTGTGTATGTATGTATGTATGTATGTATGTATGTATGTTTGTTTGTTTGTATGTATGTATGTTTGTATGTATGTATGTATGTATGTATGCATGCATGTATGTATGTATGTATGTATGTATGTATGTATGTATGTATGTTTGTATGTTTATATGTACGTATGTTTGTATGCATATATATATATATATATATATATATATATACATGTAGCCTCGGCCGAATCGACTCGGGGCGGAATCGCGGCCTCGGCTGGCGAGCCGGCTCGCCTCGCGAGGCGCGGGCCGTGGGCGGGGCCCCGGCTGCTCTGCCGCGGCCCTCCGCGCGGGCGGCCCCCCGCGCGGGCGCAGGCAGGTCCGCGCGGTGGCGGCGGCGCGCGCAGGGGAGGCGCGCCCGGGCGGGCTGCAGGCAGGCCGAGGCGGTGCCTCGAGGCCTTCGTCCCGCTGCGGTGGCGGGCTGGAGCCAACAAGATCGACGAGGAGAGGGGGAGGGAGCAGGCGAAGGCGAAGGGGGGGGAGGAGAGGAAGAAAGGAGGGGAAGGGAAGGAGGAGGTGGAGGAGGGAGGGAGGGAGGGAGTAGGAGGAGGGAAAGAGGAGGAGGAGGGAGGGAGTGAGGAGGAGGGGAAGAGGAGGAGGAGGGAATTAAGGATTAGGATGATGGGAAATAGCATTTAGGATAATGCTGAGTATGGCGGGTTAGTAGTGAGTGAGTAGTGCGGAGGATGGCTTATGATGAGTAGGATGAGGGATGATAAGGTTGGATGAAAGGGGGATTGGGGAGGAGAGGGGAGGAGGGGAGTAGGAGATGAATTAGGGGAGGAGGATAGGTAGTAGTATAGGGGCTTGTCACACTGAGGTGATGGGGGGTAAGAGTTGGGTGGAGGGAGGCAGGTAGGATGAGGTAGGTAGGAGAGAGAGGGAGGAGGAGGAGGAGGGGCAAAAGGAAAATGAGAGGGAACAAAAAACACGAAGGGGGGGGCAGGAGGAGGAGAAGAAGAAGGGCAGCACATCCTTCCCGGCGGGCGGCGGGGCCGCACCGTGGCGGCCGCGGCGCCGGCGTCTGGCACCGCGTGGGTCGTTCGGCCTTCCGCGCTCGGCAGCTGGCTGTTCGATCGAGAGGTCGTTCCATGTTGGCCGAGGATGGGACACCAGCCCGGCGGCGCGCACGAGGGGTCGGCGCGAAGGCGGCGCGCCTCTTAAAGGGCGGCGGCCTCCTCAGAGGGACCCGGAGGCTTGTGGTCACAGCCGCGTCGGCACGGCACGGGGCTGCCGCACCCCAGCGCCCCCTCTCGCCCACCGCCCTCCTCCCTCCTCCCCGCCCTCCTCCCTCCTCCCCGGATCTCCCTCCACCCCAGATGTCCCACACCACCCTGGGAGGAGGGAGGAAGGAGGAGGAGGGAGGAGGGAGGAGGGAGGAGGGAGGAGGGAGGAGGGAGGAGGGAGGAGGGAGGAGG